TCAAGTGAATCACTCCTCTTTTCTGGGTTTTGGTACTTTTTTAATATAATTTTAATTTTTTATTTTTTAAATCAATTTTAATCAGGGGGAAGAGGTTGAAACCTCCCCCCAGATCATGGGGTCATTGGGAGAATCAAATGACATGATGTGCGGAAAAGGCCTTTGAAAAATATGTATATGGAAATGTGTTTTACACGACTACACATGTATAGCCTATGTCAAATTGCTTGCCCTCTCAATGGGAGAGGAAGAGAATTTGGAACTCAAAAAAATTTTTCTTAAATGTTAAAATTGTTTTTACATGTAATTGGGGAAAATAAAATATTAAATTTAGAATTAAAAACAAAGAAAAATATGTATAAAGTTCTACATAGAAATAAGATGGTATAAGTTTCCATAAGGACCTTTGGGGAAGCTAGGTGGAGCAGTGGACAGGGCACTGGGTCAGAACCCAGGATGACCTGGCCTAAAACACTAGCTGTGTGACCCTGGGCAGTTACATGGCTCAGTGGATAGAGCACTAGGCCTGGAGCCAGGGAGACTCCTCTTCCTAAGTTCAAATCCAGCCTCAGGCACTTACTAGTTGTGTGACCCTGGGCAAGTCACTTAACCCTGTTTGCCTCAGTTTCCTCATCTATAAAATGAGCTGGAGAAGGAAATGGCAAACAATTCCAGTATCTTTGCCAGGAAAACCCCTAACGGGGTCATGGAGAGTCAGACACAACTGAAAACAACTCAACAATAACAACAACAAAAAGGACCTTTGACCCCAGTCTCCTCCTCAATAAAACCGTGGTTAAAGACCAGAGGGTCAGACTAGATGATCTCCTAGGGTCTTTCCAGCTCTCAATCCTAAGAATCTATCACCAAGAGCACATGGAGAAACAAAAATTCAAATTTACCCTATGATTATCATGATCTATACCCTGCCCCAACCCACCCAGTTCCAGACTAGGCCAAGGTGTGACCAAGGTGTGAACTTTTAGTAAGGAGCTGGTTTTCTCCTTTAAGAGAGATGAATGAAGAGTATCCCTACTTAACCCTGCCCATGGGGCCAATGATGGTCCCTCCTTCCAGGGCTCGCCTAGATTTTGGATAAGCCAGTTGCATTCCCTCCGGTCCCAGAAGATCACTCTGGTACACAGTCCAATATGGACAAGGAAAGAGCGCTAGACAAAAGATTCAGAAGGTCTGGGCTCTGATCCTTGCTCTTTGTCATTAATTTGCTGTGTGACCCCCAAGCAAGTTATTTAATTTCTTTGAGGCTCAGTTTACCCATTTATTTATTTATTTATTCATTCATCCATCCATCCATTCATCCATTCATTCATTCATTCATTCATTTCTTTCTTTCTTTCTTTCTTTCTTTCTTTCTTTCTTTCTTTCTTT